ACTCGATCATCTTAATGACCGACGTATGTTGACCTCCTATTCCCCCCTCAAGCTGGTACATGAACGATTTGAATGACCAGATTGAAAGTTAGAATGGTAATGACTCAACATTGACCGATGCTGAACACAGAGGGGACGATCGCTTCTGTGATCGTGACTTTCTCGCTTCAAACTTTGTTGACAAAAGCTATACTATCTCCCCATCACTAGCTATTGAAGGGACGACAAAGACACGTCATGATTGTCTTCAACGCCATGACTGTGATGCTGGTGAAGATTTGCTTGATGAACAATGTTCAACAAACGAGAAGAATGCAACTACAACAATGAAATTACATACCCGAAAAAATCCCTTCATGACTCGTAACGTTGTGGCCAGTGACATGACCTCCATGATCTTGATGACGACCTGACAAACATGAGAAAACTTCACAATGATGGTGGCTGCCTTCGACTGAAGCTGGTCATTGATGATGGAAATGGACGAGCTAGATTCTGACTTGGCAATAACCCAACGAATCGGCGGATTACTCCAATAGAGATGCAATGACAACGACCTACTCTGAATCTCAAGCGAACTATGCCGCCAACAACAAGCATGAACTGATGCAGAAGTGACACGTGAAGATTGATCTAAAAACACAAGTTGGATTAATCTCGTGGGACTGCTTGAGTAATGACAAGGTCGATCGGCGGGTGCGGATGTCAAATGACATGAACTTGAGATTTCCTTAAGCTTCGGTGACCTTTTAGGATTTTACTCAACTATTAAACAAACCGACGATGAGCTAATAACAAATAATTAGCTCCTTCTGCTCCGAGATGCTTCAAAAAGGTGAATAGCACACTGCTATGGACGACAGCGGGGCGACGACTCCATAGTCTTCTCCTCCTCGGGTGCTCCAGGAAGTCTCAGGGTAATACCACTCGGATGGTGGTGGATACCCCCAATGGTTGGAGAAGCCATTAGGATCCATGATTAAGATCTGCACCAGCAAAAACAAAAACACCCAAGTGAAAAGCAAGGGTGAAAAAAACGCTAGAGTAACAAACTTTTGCCTTTCCTAATAATCTAGAAAGTCCTCGGCAACGACGCCAAAAACTTGACACGCCAAAACACAACACCAAACTGCGACCAAGTGTAATCGCAGTCCGGGAATGCAGTAAAGTCACAAGTTCTATTATCAACTCGGGGTCTAGATCTACTGCTTACTCGCAATTATCTATTATCTAGCCAACTAAGTCAAGTGATTGTTGTTTTAAGCAAAAGCAGTAAGAAAGCAGGAATTGGTTCGGTTTTCTCAAGAAAAGAAGAGTCACTCGGGAATGAGTCCCCCTAGCTCCTTAGTTAGGTTTCAATTGTAATTACCCTGGGTTGATTTACTGTTGATTAGACTGCGGAAGATCCGATTGTAGCTTGGAATCTCTTAAGCTGACCAAGCCCTCTCAGTCTAACTACCCGGCAGACGACTAGTCTTCACCGGGATAGAAAGCTGAAGCAATAAGCAAAGAACTCGACTACTGGAATTGGATTCCAGTACAAAGCAGTAAACTGGCTAACTCTCGTATAGCCAATCTCCTACTAACGAATGATGAGGCTCTAACAACCTAATCGGATTCTATCTATCTCAGGTTGCAACAGAAATCAAGAAAAGCTGATCAGACTTCAATCAATTCAATAAAACATGCATCATTCGATTAAAACCAAACAGTATAATCATCCCAAGTCATTACAATCAAATCCCTAACACATGGAACTAGGGTTCTTCATACCCAAGTGAGAGAAGGGTTCTACTCCATAGAGAGAGAGAGAGAGGAAAACAGAATACAAAGCAGTCATACTCATAACAATGGGAAGAATCTGCTCTGGGATGATGATTTCCACTCTTATGACGATCTCCAAGCTCGATTTGATGAAACCCAGCTCCAAGATGGCTTCTAGGATGTGTTCTTCGTACTTTCTCTCTCTAGGGCTCTGTTTTTGCTCTGAAAACTCGATCTCTCACTTGTGGCCCGAAATTGGGTAAAAACCAGAAATTTCCGACTCACACGGGCAGGCCACATGGCTGTGTGGCATACCCAGTTTCCCGTGTGAGGTCAAAACGCCGCGTTCCGATTTTGTGGGTTTCAGGCTTCCTACACGGCCAGGGGCACACGGCCGTGTAGCTCACCCAGCCTGGCCTTGTTAAGCCTCGCAGAATTCCACACGGCCAAATTACTCCTTCACACGGCCGTGTGGTTTGTATTTGTGCCCGTGTGAAGGCTCGCACAATCCCACACGGCCACCTTGGTCACTTGCACGGCCGTGTGAGTTTTGTGTGTGCCCGTGTGGCTTCCTTTGCGACTTGCCTCGCGCCCGATCTTCGTCCAATCGACCCCGAACTCGCTCCCAAACCTTCATCCACGTACTAGGACCTGAAATATCACAAACAAGCACAACCTAGCGTGAAATCGGCCTAAAACACGAGAATCAACACCTCAAACGGCTCCAGAATAGGGGCAAAAACATGTACAATTAACGGTTTATCAAACTCCCCCACACTTAACCGTTTTCCTGTCCTCAAGCAAACCAAGTCAGACACAAGGTAAGCTCACATATTTCAATCATACCAACATTGGGGACAAATCATATAGGCACAGAACACGTGAATCATACTGGCTTTCAAACATCAACACATGAACAACCTCAATAGCAACCTGGACAACCACCACAGAAGACATTCGAGCAGCAAAATCGAGTAAAGGAGGAGTCTCCCTTCTGTTCATCAACCAACCCAGACTTGACTCAACCACTTACTCAAGACAGTCAACTCATGCATAAAACTCAAGACATCAGAATCAAGACCGAGCCATCTAGGTCCTCACCGGGGTAAAGAGTGTAAAGAACAAGGAAATGAATCACTCACTCTCGACCAGTGGGGTCAGGACAACTTGATGCGAAAAATGCGCATACTTATTCTCTCAATTCCTAACATCTCTTCACCATGACGGCAGCCTCTAAATGTACAATTAACGGTTTATCAGCGCACCAAGCAGGACTTGACGGAGACGCTGCTGGGATGGACGGACTCGACGCTAATTAGAGATACACTGTCAAAGAGTGACAACTGCAAATCCCAATGATTCCATCATGCCTTGTTGTGCCCTTAACGAACCGTGCGTCGGAAGCGGATAACTCCAATGAGGGAAGAGGAACAATGGGTATCAACAAGGAGACTTTGCAGCAACTCTGAGTTGCGCTCACTGTCGGGCAGATGGAAGAACAAGGGACGCAGACTGATGATGGCGTTGCTACATATCACGGAGAGGCAATGAATCCGACGTATGTAACTCAAAACCCTTGACTGGTGGACGTATGTTGATTGCGGAAAGAGACTGCGGAAGATCAAACACAAAACCCTAGTAGATCGTGGGTTGCTCTGATACCATGTAGAATTTGATTATGCATAATTGAAAAGAACACGAGACAAAGGATTTTACGTGGTATCCTCGGTCGATTGATCGAGACTAATCCACGGTGAGCTCGGAACGAGCTCACGACTGATATTTTATTAGGGACTAATTGTTATAGCTTGCTTACGACAGGTTCGTAGCTAAGTCTTATATAGAAATAGACTAGGGTTAAAACCCTAATGAGAAGAGTAGAGGATGACCAAGTATCTGTACCTACCGCAACTCGAACAAGGCCCAACGAGGCCCATGACTAACACGGCTTATAACCGCAACAGTCCCACTCAAGCGAAGACATGAAGACAAGAATGTCGAGCTTGAAAGTAAAATGTAAAGAACAAGCATGACAAGCTTGTTCAACAAAACACAAGATGAATGACATCTCGGACGAGGTTGATTTGGAGACGACTGACTCTCTCTCTAAATAACCTGATGAAGACGGTTGAATGCGTTTACTTGAACATCGTAACAGAGACGGTTGACTGCGCCTCTTGATCTCACTGACAGAGATGATTGACTACGTCTCTTGAACTTCCTGACGGATAGATAGACTCGGTCATATTGGGAGCAACTAGTTCTTGACATGGTATCATAGTTGGTTTGTCCGTGAGGTCACGTGTTCAAGTCCTCACGACCCCCAATATTAACCGTTTGTCTCAAGCACATGGTATGGCGGGCTTGGCAAACTTCAAGCCCATGAGTCGGCTTTCGTTTGAGGGGCATTTAAGAAAGTGGTTAAGTACCATATATGGGCCTGTATAAGATCCAGTATAACATTCTCCCAACAACTCGAGTTATTGGGACCAACAGGTCTATGACAGGAAGGAGCTTGTGGTCCTCGTCACCCCTTCTTTCTAATTATGTTCTTTCTTTTTTATTTATTTTGCTTTAGTTTCTTTAATTTGTAAATGACGTGGACAATGCTAGTCAGCGACGAATGCTAAGTCAGTGATGGGGAAATGGTTGACCGTCAATTTTGGCAGTCAAACCGTCCCACGGGTGAGATATGTCTAATAATTTCAAAAATAGGCCATAAATGTCTTATTTGAAAAGTGGAGTCAAAACTGTAAATTACACTAAACTTCATGTCAAACTAGAGTATTAACCTATTTTTATTTATATGCGTTTCTAGAAACTTGGTTGGGGTATAGTTTTTTATTTTGTATAAGAACGGGTTTAGACGAAGAAAGGTATTTCAAATTACCTTGCAAAATCTAATCTTGTTTAGTATGTTCTCGGTTTATTTTAAGAAAATGAAGAAATGAGTGATTTATGGTCTAATAAGTGATGATGTTGATGGTAGTTTAGTTGACCGACCTTTTCCTTTTTGATTGGTGAAGTTGGTGAAGCTAAAGCATGCTGGCCTGCTGGCCTGCTGCCTCCTCTCCAAACATCTGGGGAGTACTGTACTTGCTGCTACTGTCCTTCTGCTCCTTTGTTTCCTTTGTACTTTTGTTGTTGCTGTTGTTTTGTGTCTTAATGTGGGTTGGTGTATTGGTAATGATATTTTTTTTTTATAAAGGGATCACTTATATTGCTCAACTAATAAAATCGGTTACAAAGAGGGATACAACATGAGAAAACAAATCAAGAAAGAACAACCTCAACATCTAGAGGAACACACAAACCAACGAGGGGAAGATCAGAACAAGAGAAAGCCAAGCATGATCCAACTAGACAAGGGCATTCTATTCTTGAACCGCAAACCAAAGCATCTGAATCACTCTTTGCAACCTCATTTATCAGAAAAACTCAAAGGAAAGCTTCAGCTCATCCAATACAGCAATGACCATGATGATTGAACATTGCAACACCATATGCCGCCTCCTGGGAGTTGTTCGAAGACGACCCATCACAGTGAATCACCGAGGAGATTACATGGCGGTGGGCAGCGCTATACAGGATTGTTCAGAGCTGAAACAAAGAGAGGGAGCCGGCAGCGGAAGCATCCACGACAAACCAGAGAGCAGGGAACACAAAGGGTTGAAATGCCCACAAAAACCACAAGAAAGAAGACCCACCAGCATGAGCCTCACCTGCAGAAACACAAAGCCAAAAAGAGTTCCAAGAACAGGAACACCAACAAGCAGCACAACCCAATCCATCAACAACAACCCACACCCACACTGCAAATCAACCCAAAAGAAGAACTCTGATCTCATAGAAACATGGACCATCCGCCACGACAATCGGAAGAGACACCGCCACCCACACTGACGATTGGCAAAGATGCAGAGATCAAGCAAGGAGCACAACAGCAGAGGCGCAACAGTGAACGTGATCGCCCACGGGAACGACCACACCAAGAAGGAGGAAATCTTCAAACCGAACCAGCAGAAGCACCCCCAAATTGCATCTTCCGTACCCAAAACAGAGGAACAGATCTAGAAAACTAGATCTGAACAAGACACAACATCTCCACCAGGGAGGAAAGTGGGAGGAACCACTAAGGAACCGAGACAAAGCCACCAAGGGCTGGAAGAGCCATCGAGGGCTGGAAAATCAGAATAGATCTGCAAAAGCCGAGAAGGGCAAAGGAAACAGGAAAAGCCAGCACTGATCGGAGAGCAAGGAAACCACAAAGGAAATCCGGCGAGCAAGAGAAAGGAAGAAAAAAGAGAGAATTTGGGCCACAGCCGGTCACCAGAGTGGTGTCGGCAGCAGCCCTGTGAAGAAGATGATGGAAAGCTAGAGAGAAGGTGGAGGTTTTGCGTGGAAAGAATCCCTAAGTTTCGTTTCTTCTTTTTTGTGTATTGGTAATGATAAGAAGAGAAGGAAGTGGGAGGTTTTTTGGTTCACTTTACTGTCTGTGTTTAGGCTTAAGAAGAAAATGAAAAAAGTAGGGAATTGTGTTGTCTTTGTTTGAAGAAAAAGGGAAGTAGAAGAAGAATAAGAACAAATGTCTAGTTTTTCAGCGTGTTTCCCTCTCCAAGAGAACCGGCCCCACTAAAACAGAAGGTAAGACTAGCTCCAATCCATGGTGTTAAAATATTATAAAGTCATATTTGGCTTTTCTTTTTCTTCCTCCAACCCACAAAAAAATGGGAAGCAAAAAATGGGTATTGGGTTTTTGGAAGGGATATTTGGCTGGGTTTTGGGGTGGGGAGGGAAATTTGGCTGCCAAAAAGTGGCCAGCATGTCAGCTGGCGGAGAAGGGCGCACGCGCGCGTCCTGCGCCCTTCTCCGCCAACTGATGTGCTGTGCTTTTTTTTCTTTTAACTTTTGTTGGTTGGGAATTTGTTTTGGATTTTTTTTTCTCTATTCTCATTGGTTGTTTGTGATTCAATTTGAAATATAAATTTGAAATAATTGATGTAGTGACGAAAGAAAAGGTCATATTTTAACGGCCATATTTTTTCTTATATATTACAACACTTTTCATAGATTTCTCTTCACTCATTCTCAGAGCATAAATCGCATTCTCTCAAAATTCAATTGTTATCATCTCTCAAAATAGAAATATGACAGACGAGAGGACCTAATTAGCGTGCTCTTAATCAACAACGACGAGGTTAACAATTTCCTAATTCTTCTAACCATTCCAATAACGCTATTTCTCGATACTAGAGAAACAAGTCTGAATCTCAAACCAAATAGGGATCTCCATGTTTTCTAACGCTAATATTAGCGATCCAATTTCACATTAAACACTTCAAATATTTGTTTGAAAAGATGCTTAAGATTTGCAATGGCCAACCTCAGAAAGCTATTGTTTTTTTAATTAAATATGTTTAACCTGGACAAAATTCTGGTGTTAAAGATTGGTCTTAGCCACAACCACAGAGCATATTTCAGATCTTTTCTTGAGTCGTGGAAGGTGGATATCCTCCATTATAATATGGCAGTATCTCGTGAGATTTTCTCCATTTTGAATTCTATGCATTCTCCTTAATCGTAGCTAGGGTAATAATAGTAAATATCATCTTACTTTTTAATAAGTAAAAAACAATAACAAATATTCTGCCTGCAAGATTTAAATCTTGGTCATTACAAACAGAGACAAGGGTAATAAACAACAACACTACATTTATTTGGTGTGTCTCTTTCAATAAAAAAACATACGTGAAGGTAAAACAGAAAAATTATAGAACTTTTCAAAGGTTAGTTAGCCAAGTAAAATTCCGATAAGTACTTATTGATGTTCGATACTTTAATATTTATATTGTGATAATTTTAAATTTATTTTAATATTTAATTTAAATTTCTATATATCTTATTAATAAGGATAACTTTAAAATCACAACTCAAATATCAATGGTTCGAATATTGCATATCAAAATCCAGTATTAGCATTAATTTTTAGAACTACTATGAAGCAATCATATTCATATCTTTGTGCGATCTTTATGAGACTGGTCCTTTTAACGTTTTACCTCAGCTAATCGCTAAGTTTTAAACCCCCTTTCTAATCCGACATTATTGGATCGAACAATCATTAGACGAGGTCAAGTTTAATATGTTGGTTCATTTCATCCTTTTTATGTGTTAATGAATATGTTGGACAAAGACATGTCTACATATACACTCTACACAATATATAAGATTGAAATGAGAAAATTGTTGCCTCATTCTATATTTCATACAACGAGAGTGAAATTATGAATGATATTTTTGTCTTCGCAATTATTTATCTTTAATATTTATAGAAAATAGAAAAAATTGAGATTTGAACCAATGTATCTTAAAACAAAGATAAGACTCATAACCATGATTGTCGACCCGAGTTTGACTCGGCTGGCCGAACCAATTATTCACAAACCCGAGTATTGCAATGAGCGCGGAAGGCCCAATCGGTTATCTACTTGGGCTCGGCCAAACCCTGAAAAACCTAATCAAATTGAGAAATTCAGCCGATTCAACCAACTTATCCGAGCACCAGGCCACTTCAAAATGATGTCATTTTCAACAAATCGTATTCGTAGCTCCATTGTCGTGGCATCCTTTTTCTTATCACAAACCCTACAACAAGGAACATAAAAAATCTCATGTTCGACTATCTCGCCGTCTCTTCCTTTAGGTTTGACAGGCGACAATACAAGGCTCAACCATCTCATAAAACATCTCAATCCATCAGTAGTCAATTCCATTTGCGTTATAGCAACAGAATAATAGCGTCAATCGACTTCATCTCATACAAAGAAGAAGCAAAAAAGTTTAGAGAAACATGCATTTGGGTTGAGACTTTGTGTGGCTAGCAAATGCCAAGTTCCTCATTTGTATATGAGCTTAAAATTTAATTGGAGAAAAAGATTAAAAATATTGAGAATGGAATATGAGATCTAACAATATATAGATAAGTAAAAGGAAAGGGGAAAAAAAAGAAAAAAAAGAGAGAAGGATTTAATAATTAAAGCATCATTCTTATTTTTAAAAGAGAGAAAGAAGTAAAAAAAAGTATTAATAAATGCAATAAACTCTAATGAATGATTTATATTAAATCGTCATTTGACCTAAATTTACCATTACAAATCCTATATATCTAAGCACAATACACGTGGAACCTAAATATTTTTCTTTTTTCCGGAAAGTTGGGCTAAACCAAGTTTAATTCAATTATCCCATTAACCTTTAACCACTTCATTGAATGAGTCAATGAGTTAAATCGGGTTAACAACTTTGGTCATAACTAATTACACTAAATAAAATTATTATATATTTTAAATCTACAAAATATATCATAGTGAAATTGACACTGTTGCTTTGAAACAAAAAAATCGTATTTGGAAGAATACGTAAAACATTCACGATTAATATTAGTTGAATGATTTACCTTGTAGGGAAATTCGCGAATTAACAAATGCAAAGAAAGAAAATGTACAATTGTTTAACCAGAAAATGGCGTACATATGGTGGGTGCGAGTGACGAAGCACACGCTCTCTGCGTGGTTCAAATCTGTATGTGGATGATATGCTAATCACTAGCGAATGACTATGGCTTTGTAAAATATGAGCTCTCTTGTAGGCATTGTGATCTCAACTGTTTTAAGAAGTCATGACTAGATTTGAAGAGAAAATTTTGATCAGATGATTCAGGTGACCACTAATCTACATATTGTTTGAACTGGTACGAGAATTTTCTATAATAGAATCTTGAAATTTTGAAAAAGATATGTTTTTTTGGAAGATTATGAGAAACATTAATACCGTGGGGGGTAGGTTCTGGGGTGCAAATTGGAGAAAACTTGGTGATTGCAATGACGGGTTATTAGTACTTTTTCCTTCTATAAATAAAATTTACAACACAAAGCGAATTTAGGTAACTTTATGCATAAAATCGATCACAAATCATTCGAATGAGTTATTAAACTTTATTATTTTATTCTTAGTCAGAGTTGATAGTTAATTAAAATGAAAGGTGTTGTAGTATTTCGCCCAATGGTTCTATCTCTCCTATATCGATGAATTACTACAAGAACTATTTTGATACTTCTATACTTGAATGGGTTTTTGGTCTTCGTCCAAGGTAGGAATGGCAATGAGGCAGGTCGGGTCCGGGTCGGGTAATTTATCATGGGGCGCGTGTCAGGGCAGGTCGACCCATTGGGCATATAATTTATGCGAAAAACATTAGAATTATTCGTTATTTTAATTAAAAGACCAAGAAAGATATCATAATTTGATAAAATGTAGTTAAATTATTGGAGAAATTGAGTTTTTCACTTATTTACAACTTTATTATACCTAAAATATGATGTAATAAGAGGAAAATCCTAAGTCATTTGACTAAGATTACATGTAATTTAGGCAAGAACGGGTCGAGAATGGGGCGGGTCAGGACATGTCGGGTCGATGAAAGGTACCCATTCCCGCCCCAAAATAGGTCAAACAGGTCCGGTAAATCAGGCCAGGTCGAAATTGTCACCCCTAGTCCAAGGTTAATCGCTTCACATATGTAAGTCAATCATTTTTTTTCTCTGACTCATGGTTTTATCTTTCAGATTAATAACAAAATCGAATTTATTTTCAGGTTGTATCATGAGGAGAACATGCAGAAGATCTATTTCTTTTATCCTATTGCGTAATACAATGTTTGAAGCCCGGTGGATCTCTTGCGTCGTTACTCCTCTTTATGTTCTTAAGTTTCAACTTCAATGAGACTTTTATCTTTATAGAAGGTTCATTGAGTTGAACTGATGGATGGAACACAACATCAATACAACGTATTTTGTCACTATATCACAACTCATTACTTGAATATAAATTACATTAGATTAATTTATTATACTACAAACGAAATCTCAGTTGGAATAGATCTCTTTTCTTCATATGCCTAGCTATTCGATTATTTGCCCGGCAATCTTGAAGCAATCTAGTGGCAGCACAAATTTCACTAGTTTTGACGGCAAGTATAGATAATATATTTTCAACTTTGAGCTATATCAAGAACGAACTTCGAGGTCAAATTCACAGCCAGTTTGCTAATGATTGTTTAGTGTGATCCATTGAAAATGACTTACTTAATAGTGTAGACAATGAATGCATTTTGTGTTTCTTTCAGAGTATGAAAAATCATCATGGTTGTTTATGAAAATACTGATTGTATTAGTCGTTATCTTTTATATATAAAAATTAATTATTTAGATATTATTAATTTAATTATATTTATATATTTATAAACCTGAAAAGAGGTCAGGGGCAGTTCCAAATCCTGCATCCGCCACTGAATTCATCGGCCTTATTAACGGCTCAAGATAGGGTGCATAACCATGGGTTATGCACCCATCAATAATCAAATATGGACTCTTTATTTAGAAAATTCAGATCTAAGGAAGGAAAATTAAAAACCATTTTTATTTTTTCTAGCTTTCTTAATTGACTCATATCTTTTTCGTTTTAACTCGGATTTTTTTTTTTGCACAAATGGAACGAGTTCATCGTGCTCTACAAAATGAGATCAATTTTCAATATTTTTTGAGAAAAAAAAATTCTGCCCTCTCGGTACCAATTGCATACCATATGGTATCTTCTTCGTTTTTTATTCGTTTTTGAAAAAGTTTGCACAGAAGAGACGAGTTCATCATGATCTATCGGATCTACAAATTTCTGGGTGAACAAATTACAGGACCAAAAAATACCACACAATACCACCCTGGTACGGGGTGGTATTGTGTGGTATCTTCTTCGTTTTTAATTCATTTTTGAAAATGTTTGCAGAGAAGGGACGAGTTCATCATGATCTATTGGATCTACAAATTTCTGGGTGAACAAATTACAGGACCAAAAAATACTACACAATACCATACAATACCACCCTGGTACGGGGTGGTATTGTGTGGTATACAATGTTAAAAGTCGTAAATAACAATTAATATACTTCTATTATCATGTATTCAACCATCCTACAGTCATGGTTTGTTCATACCACCATGGTACGTTTTTCAAACCATAGGTATGCTTTTATTTCAATACCAGTCAATACCATATGGTATAGACTGGTAAAAAATGACTAAATTTTTTTTGTTCGAAAAATATATTAAAGTGGATATCATTTTGATGAGCACAATTAATCTGATTTAACTGTGCAAAAAAAATTAAATTTCGACTTAAAATGAGTGAGAAATCGTCCGTCAAAGATTAAAAAAGGGAAAATTAAAGGCTTTCCAGGAGAGAGGATGCTGATGTCATGCTGATGTGGATAGGTTACTCATGATTACTCACCATAATGTTACTGACCTGATCCATTCCCTTTATTGACATTGACGGAAAACAAAGCAAAGTGCTACGAGGGAGGTTGGGGGAATATCATCCCCCAAATCGAACTTTTCATCTTCCCTACCAAAATTGCAATTCGAAGGATTCAGACGGTGGTCGGGGTTTGGGTTCTTTTTTTGTCCGAATTCATGGGTGTGGTCAATGGTGAGTTTGCTTTTTTTTAAAAAAAAAAAAATAAAAAACTCCGTTAGTGAAACAGACAGAAAAATGGAATGTCGCATGTTTAATTGACTTATATAGTATTCAATGCCCTAAATTTATTTTAGTGGTACATTTTTCTTAATTCTCTAGTGATATATAGTGTATTTCTCTCTAGTTTCTTGTAAGGGGGAGAAGAAAACTAGTAAAGAAGGTCGAAAATGGAGAATTTCTTATAGCTACGTACTATTAGAGAAGTGTAATTGATGATGGGAAAATAGGATATATTTGCTTCGCTAAATAATTCAATTATTAAAACACATAATGATAATTGAAAATATTTATAATGATAATTGATTTCAAATTTCCTATTCAAAATTGATTTGATGATGGTCTTTTAAAGAGGATTCCAATTAAACAATAAAAGAATGATGTTTTTTTCATAAGTCCAAAAGATTTTTTTTTGGAATAAGAAAAGTAGAAGGACTAATTCTGAAATATAGAAAATAAAATATTCCATGAACGTTCTGTCAGCTTTAACGGAATGACATAAGAGTAAAGTTAAGTGGTACCGGGTGCACTATGCACATATAATAGTCTAATGGCACGCAATGCCTTATTCTTTCTTACTTACTTAAGTGGTATAGTTTCTCCAATTCTCATACTCTAGCGATACCCGAGGTATTTTACCCATTGATGATGTTATCAGTGATCGAAGAAAGTGAAAACGTACATGAGTAAGTATTGTTGTTTGCTTTTATAGAGAGTGATTTTTTTGTGCCATTGATAGATCATAAATAGATAGGGCATTACAAATTCTTGAAAATTAAAGGCAGTAGTCAACCTAATGTTGAGCTACTGATGCAAGGGCCGTTTTTGCCACGGAATGGGCAGCTCTGTTAGTATGCCTAGAACCATAGATAAACAAATAAACGCAAAGGAAGTCTTCCTTTCGCAAACTTCTTGATGCACCCATCCATCGAATATAAACTTCATATCTCCTGTAAGTCAAGTTCCAATAGGCCAACTATAGAGTTGATGTGCAAGCTGCCTGCAAGAAGAACACACAAACGATCCCTAGAGGAATAAAGAAAAAGTCAAGTACCAACGAACCTCTATCAGGTATGCTCCACAAGCTATATGAACTATGCCGCCTGCAAAACAAAAGAAAAATTAAACTGGCCAAAACCAATACAATTTCACCAGAGTGGACGAAATACTCTCCATGTATGATGAGATGGAAAAATAAAGAATAAGGGCTAGGAAGTCAAATCTATGATACAGTACCTAAACTTATAACATTACTACTAGTACTATTGTTATGGGACAATCCAAGCACCACATTGGTAATAAAGGGAAGGAACCATTGTATATTAGTGTCCACTAGACCAATTAGTACGAGGCCTTTTGGGGAGGACACCCAAGAGTAAAACCGTGCGGGCTTGGCCCAAAACGGACAGTAACATACTAATTGAGCACCTCGGTGCGACAAGTGGTATCAAAGCCTGGTTCGGTTCAGGGCGGTGGACGTCAGTTTGGTGGGACCCTCGTTTGGTGACCTCAAGATTTGAGATCCGCGTCTGTTTGGTGGATCCACGAGAGATCCACGTCTGGGCTACATCTGGTTTGGCATATCAAAGGAGGTTCGCGTCTGGTTTGTTGGATCCACGAGTGATCCATGTCTAGGAAAGTCCTTGTACCGAGAAGACCATCGATACAAGGTGTCTGGCGGATCAAGATAATCGCCGAGGTGAAGACATGAAATTCGTGGTTGGTTGATATTGTTACTTAAGCTTGAGGGTAGGATTGTTGTGGGATAATCCAAGTAACACATCGGTAATACAAGGGAAGGAACCCTTGTATATTAGTGTCCACCTAGCCCAATTAGTACGAGACCTTTTGGGGAGGACACCCAAAAAGTAAAATCGTGCGTGCTTGGCCCAAAGCGAACAATATCGTACTAATTGAGCACCCCAATTTGTGAAAACTATCCTAACAAGTCCTGGACTATGAAAAGCCCTAATTTTGGTTCTCTCACACTCTAGTACATGCAAGATCACTTCCAATTATCACAAAGTGGCAATATTACGAACATAACGACCATCGGATTAAGAGGGTCGATGTTTAATTAATAATATTTGGGGACGACTAATAGAGTGTGTTTGGACTAGGGAGGGACGTTCGGTTATCGGTTTTCAGTTAACCGGTCAGTTAAACCGATAACCGCGGTTACCGGTTAACCGACTAATCGGTGGTTATCGGTTAACCGACTAACCGAAAATTGTAAAATTGGGCGGTGTTCGGTAGCGGGGCTAGCTATGCCGGTTAACCGGCAAAGCTAACCCCCTCCCCTCAATCGTAAAACAACGTCGCCTCCTCTTCCGCCTAAACCCTAATCTCGGCTGCGCCCCTCAATCTCTCATCTGCATCGCGAGACGCGAAGTCTCTCCCAGTCTCCCTGCCGCCTGCCCAACCCTCCTCCATCGACCATCTCCCTACGCCGGCGGTGCTCCTCCTTTCCCCTATATCGACCATCTCCCTCCTCGACGACGGCGACCCTTGCTCTGCCAACGCGAAGTCGCCGCTAGCCATCCCCTTCCTTCCGCCGCCGCGATCTTGCCTCGGCCTCATCTACTCACAGCCAGCACTCCTCCGCCAGCGCCATTCCTTTCCGGCGACCAGTGCCCCTCTGTGCAGGCCTGCACCCCGCCATTAAAACTGGTTAACATGGTCTGTTGTGGTTATCACGGTGTACCGAGCAACTAACCAGTAACTGACTGGTTGGTTGTCGGCTAATCGATGCATTCTGTAGGGAGATTGGCGGTAGACGAGGTTGGCGTCGCGGTTAACCGGTAACCGACATTTCGGTTATCGGTTATAACCGATATAACCGAAAATCCAGCCCTAGTTTGGACGCCTTTTTGTAGAGGGCTTCCAAATATTAAGCGCCTCCATTATAGATTTGTTAGTTAAATAAATTGTATCTAATAGAGAAGACCGACAATGGGATGTATCGGGAGGCCCTATTGCACATGGCCTTCGATATTAGGGGGCCACCACCATAGGTATTTTGGTTGATCCAATCCATATTATATGACGAACTTTTGGTGTATGATGGATTGATTATGTTGTGATGATGCGTTTAATATGTTTATTAATACTAGAGATATTCATTGGTCGATATTCTCGTGTGTATATAAACAAGGCATGTATATTTATCGTTAAAGTTCTACTTGTATTCAAAAAGTTATATTTGTTTTTTAATTTATAAAGTGAAACAACAAATCCTTAATTGATTAGTGATGCTTATAATTGAGAATGATATCTCGCATAATAAAAAATTGAAATTATTGTTCAAATAAGGATGTTATGATCATTTCCATTTTATCATACTAATTAAAATTTGACCCTTAGGGGCTGGGACTGTTCCTGTGTCGCAAAGAAACACGCCGGCCAGGAATAGAGTACCTGTTTTGACGGTGAACACACCCATCTGTTCGAAGTCGATGATGTTACTGAAACAATTCCTCGGAATGTTCCCTTAGGGGATGGGCATCTCTGTGCGATGCCAGATGATGGGAGGGCGGTGATCCAATCCAGGTGAAATGGACCTAATAAAACCAACAATGAGGTTTCATGCCTGTCTGGTGGCGCCGTCGCGTATCGCAGGAAGATTCCATCCGGCGGCGCCGGCGCGAATCCCAGTAAGATGAGCCCGCGGTGGAGTTGGGTAGAGACAGGTGGATTTCTCGCCGATTTTCCATCTTCGTGTGGCGGGATCTGCGGGGGCCGTATCCAGTATGGATTCCCAAAATCGGATCCCCAACTGAAGTCTCCCACTCCTACCCAAACTCTGCAAGATGGGAGAAATAGGGGAACACGGCTCCTCTTGGGTCAGACTGTTCTGTTTGCTTATAAAAACGCTCCTTCAATTGCCGAACTGACACAGAGCTTTGTTCAGCAAATTGCAAGCGGTGGAAAAGAGAGGATCGTCGTCTCCCCTAGTTTGAAGAGTTTGGATTCTGTCCTTACGTCAGGTAATGATCTCTGCTCTCACATCCTCCCACGCCCTATTGGATCAGGCTCCTTTGTTTTTCTGCCGATTGTATTCCCTCCTCCTCCGAGTACTCTGCGTAGCGTGCAGGCGCCAATGGTTATGGCCAGACCGTTAGCGGTCAACCTTGATCCTAATATAAATCTCTCCATCGATTTGACACAGGTGAATAGGATGGCACGCATATCGGAGGATCAAGTGGTTGAATTTCACTTGAGGAGGTCCAATCGGTGAAGTTTCGAACGTCGAGGACCCTTTTAGGGCAATTATTTTCGGAAACTATAATCACCACTGCGGAGCTGAGAGAGGGCTTGATTGATGCTTGGAGGATAAGAGGAAATCTTCGGGTTTCGACCACGAAATTTGGCCTATTTGAGATGGTCCTTCCAAGTGAGGAGACAAGGGTTTGGGTTCTAAAAAGAACACCCTGGATCGTGAAAGATAGGATCTTCCACCTCCGTTCCTGGTCACCATCTATCTCGAGGCTTACCTTTGATGAGTTGGCCATTTCCTCCTTTCGTGTTCAGCTCTGGAATGTGAAAGAACACTGATGCACTAAGAAGTTTGGCCGGAAAGTGGTCGCTGGGACCATTGGTCAAGTCTTGGAAGGAGATGTCTTTGCGTCCAAAGACACCGATGAGTACTTTGTGAAAGTGCTCGCTCTCATTGACTTTACCAAGCCTCTCCGGTCTCAATTCATGGCGGTTAGTGAAGAGCTTGGGAGCTTCTGGGTAAATCTCAAGTATAAATTTTTATCGACCTTTTGTTACCATTATGGTCGTGTGGGTCACTCGAAACCGAATTGTGGTTTTGATCCCCCGAAGGGAAAGGAACGCTTTGGCCCACACATGTCTACACAGAAACCAGGAAGGAAGATTTACTTGGAGGAGGAAGATTATACTCAATTCCGCAATGCCACTAAAACTGTGTGGGTTAACAAGAATACACAAATGCACAATGATGGGAGCGCGAAGAATGCCCAAGGCTTACCAGTGATTAATGCTCGCCAGCATGATCAGGGGGCGCCTAATCCTCAGCCAAGACAGCCGACAGTTCAACGTAATGAAGAACCTCAGCCTAGGCTGCATGAAATTAAGCATAAACCACTTGGGAAGCGTGCTAGCCCCAAGAGGTTTGTCTTCAAGACGTTGCCTCGAGTTAGGATTGGTGGGGGTGTTCGACATCAGCAGAAGAAGGTGTCGCCTGGGAAAGCTGCCCATCCTCCTCGGCAAGGCACCAAGGGGCGCCAGCAGTCTGGTCGGCGCGCTAGGCAGGCCACCTCGGGATGGTCCTATTGATGAGGATCACCAGCAGGTCACTGAATCGGAGAATGATCAGGAAGCCGAAGATCACCATTCTTTTGAAATCAAGAGGCGATCCCCAGTTATTGCCACCACAAAAACTATCCAAAACATAAAAGGGCGTGTACACCAAGTGGTGGAGACATTTGAAGCTGGGCTTGTCATTGCAAGAGAGGAAGGTGGTTCGGGTAAGGGTTTGAGCTCGAGACTAAATGAGTACGGGTCGAATCTGATGGACCCTATCATGGAGAGTCAAAAACGGGTTCTGGATGAGATGGATGGGGATGTGGGTGACCCGCCTACCCCTAAGAAGCAGTTTGTGGAATCAGCTGATGACTTGGATAAGGTGGAGGAAGCCAGCCTCAAGTGGCCCCCAGCAGATAGATGAGGCTTCTGGCCTGGAACATTAGAGGAATTGGGTCATCCCTCACTTTCCAAACCGCTGTAGGGCTTGTTCAATCAAATAAACCAGATCTCGTGTTTTTTCGGAAACGCGATCGAGCTGGCGTGTAGTGTCCAGGCGTATGCGGGGTTTAGGTTTTGCTCTTTCGTATTGTTTTTTGGTAGATGCAGTCGATGCATCGGGAGGTTTAGTAGTTTCTTGGGTCCCCCGAGTTGACACTTCGGTGTTTTGTCATTCCAATTTCTATGTTTGCTCGCAAATTAATGAAGGAGATTTTTCTTATGTTGTGATCTTTGTTTATATTAGTTGTAATATTGCTGTTCGAGCTACCCAATTGGCTCAGCTGCGTAACGTTTGTGTGAATAACAACCACCCTTATGTGGTCATAGGCGATTTTAATACTACTCTGCATGAGAGTGAAAAAGCTGGGGGTCGGGCGTGGAATGCTGCCCAAGCCTTTAGTCTCCGTGAATTTGTTCATGATTTGGGTCTCCATAACCCTGGTTACCAAGGAGATCAATTCAATTGGACAAATAAATGCATGGGCGATGCGTGCATTCGTGCACGTCTGGATAGAGCGCTCTGCTCTCAGTCCTGGATTGATACATACCCAGAGACCTTAGTCAAACACTTTACGGACCAGGGATCATACCATCGTGCCCTTCTCCTTGCTGATAAACCGTATGCTCGTAGTAGTCGACCCCTTTTCCGATTTGATGCCCGTTGGGCGGATAATCCGGAGGTAAGGGCCATGGTCAACTATGTCTGGCAGGAGGAGATCCAAGGTACCCCTATGTTTCGACTTTGGGAACGCCTTAAGCAACTTCGTCATTTGCTGTATGATTGGAGTAGGGCAGGCACAACGAATTCCCTGCGGAACATTATAACACCCCAGGCAGATATTGACCGGGTCAAAGCAATCCATCTAGTGGATTGGAATGTTATCAAGGCCTTGGAAACGGAGCTGACCCGTCAATGGGACGCTGAGTAGGTATACTGGCAGCAAAAGTCCAGGGTGCGGTGGTTAAAAAAGGTGATCAAAACTCTGCCTATTTCTACACGGTCACGCGCGCTCGCCAGAAACGAAACTTTGTTTTCGGGATCCGGAATGAGGAGGGTGAATGGGTGACAGAGGAAAGTGGGAAGGCGGCTATTGCGACGGAATTTTATCATACCCTATTTACCTCGGAGACCCAGGTTCCTAACATGACTGAAAGAGTGGCAAAAGAAACTTTGATTAAGTCAATCGCGTTGGCGTTTCCCCTGCATGTTATGTCGTGCTTCCGCTTAACCCTCTCTCTGTGTCGACTATTGGATAGACATGTGGCCCGCTTCTGGTGGGGTGCGGATGAGGCTCATTCCAAGGTTAGATGGGTGTCCTGGCGTAATCTGTGCACGAGTAAACACGATGGGGGAATGGGATTTCGCCGATTTGAGCAATTTAATCAGGCTTTGTTAGCAAAAATTGGTTGGCGGATCCTCAATGAGCCCCAATGTTTACTTGCTCAGGTGTATAGGGGAAAGTACTTCCCTCAGGGTACCTTCCTGGGGGCGAAGGCTCGATCACGGCCTTCATGGGGGTGGCAGAGTATTCTCTTCGGGCGCCAGTTATTGGAAATGGGGCTGAGGTGGCAGGTGGGGAATGGTCACTCGGTTTCTCTTCTCCACTCTAACTGGATCCCAGGGCTCCAGTTGGATCCCCCGTGTTATAACCCGCAAGTCTTGCCAGAGCCCCAGAAGGGGGTGACCCTTCGGTGGCGGAGGTTATCTGCCCAGGGGAAGGGCAATGGTCTGATGACAAACTGAGTCAGTGGTTTGACCCGCCTACCTACCGTGCGATTAAGGATATCCCGCTTCCGCGGCAGAATGTTCCTGATAAACTGATCTGGCATAACACGGCGAACAGAGTGTTCTCGGTTAAGTCGGCCTATCATTTGGCGGTGGAGTTGGATAGGAGTAGGGGGGATGGCGGTCCTCGGTTAGTTGGATGGATAAGCCAAGTTGGATCCGGCTGTGGGGGGCAGCGATACCTCCCAAGTTGTAGGTTTTTGTCTGGCAAATCCTTAGTCGGGCTTTACCAACTACTGAAGCGCTCATTGAAAAATAGGTTCCTGTGATCCCTCGATGTCCGGTTTGCTGGGAAAGACCGAAGACAATGGAGCACTTGTTTCTTGATTTCCCATTTGCGCGAGCCCTTTGGGATTACTCGAGGCTGCAATAGTTGGGGGGAGGGACTGCCGCGGCACACGTTCCCCTTGTTTCTTAAGCGTCTGTTGGCTCTGATCCATCATCCACATTTGTTCATGGCGGTGGTTGCTATCCTCTGGCGGATATGGCGTTCCCGGAATTGGGTTGTCTTTGAAGGCAAACGGTTTGGGATCCCTGCGCTAATGCGTCAATTCAATCAACAATTTGAAGAATGGGTGAGCTTGCCAGTTGACCAGGTCCCTAGGGGGTCTTTTCCAGTACTGCAGCACTTAAGTCAAGAGGATGATTCCCGCTTTATATGCATGTGGGATGGAGCAACTAGGAATGGATCGCACTCCGCTAGTGGAATGGTACTTTTCGATCCGGCGCGGTCGCTTCTATTGGCGAAGGGGGTTCAGTTCCCCCAGATTAATGAGCCTCAGATGGTGGAGTTGTTTGTGCTGCGGGAGGCTGTGGCTTGGTGTGTTGAGTGTGGCTTATCAGAAGTCCGGTTCGAGGTGGACGCGAAGGTTCTTATTGATAAGATCAACCAAGCCGACATAAGGGATAGCCGTCTGGGTGCTGTCTTGCAGGAGATTGATCAAAGTTTGCGCGTCCACTCTGGGTTTAGTGTGCGATTTGTAGGTCGGGAGAACAATAGGGTAGCTTATTCGGTAGCTAGAAAAGCCCTCTCTTTGTATCCGACTGTATGTCGCGTCTTTAATTTCCGGGCCTGGCTTGCTTCCAGGATGTAACTATCTATCTTTTTTTATCAATATATGATATCTTTTGACAAAAAAAGACGGGCCTCAGCGATTCTTAGAATAACCCTGCTAGTAGACTCAACTTGTGTTGTAAGATTAATTAATTTATAAATATGATGATGGGGTTTTGAGTCAGGTCAATTAATATTATGATTACTCATTAGTAATTAGTCAATATTCTCATATAAGTATTTATGTATACGTGATATGTATACTAATTGTTAAAGTGGTGTTTGTGTTACTATAGTCATAGTTCGGTTCGAAATTGACAAAAAAGAATTTAATAAATTAGCTAAGGCAATTAGGAGAATACAAAAATTGAAAAGTTAATGTATACTTTTATTTCAACAATAGTTTTTTCATATATTTTTTTAAATTTTCAATAACGATATTATGATCATTTTAATTTTATTTTACTTCAAAAATTTGTGCCACATGTGAATCATAGAACAACGCCTCTAGAACTTATTGGACCGTCCTGCTAATATTAATTATTAAATCTTGAAGTGGCCGTGTACAGTGTACTTACTTACTTACTTAACTTTATTATTAATTATTACTGCCTAAATTTGTTTACAAATAATAATGATTAGTTACGTACGTGTATTATATGCACCCACCACCAATAAAGAAGAGACAACACTACAAAACGATGATTTAGGTTTCGTTTTCTACTCCACGTGTACGTTTGTGTCGTGTTATTTGTCGTAATGTTGTAGGGTGAGCCTGTCGTAAGTTCGTAGTCCAAATTTGATGGGATTCTCTTCTATTATCTCTTAGCTTAGTTCCATCGTAGAAGATAACGACAATATATATGGTTTCATATTTACATGTGAAAGGAAATTAGGACATGGCGATGCCGATTATTCGTTACAGTTAATGAAGCCATATATGTCAAGTAGTGTTAAGAACTTAAGATATAAGAATACTCCATAACACATACCGATGTGGCCGTTTTTCGGTTTTGGCTTTTACTTAGTACCTTATCATATTTTTAGAACGTTGATGTGATTTGAATTAGACTATCTAATTACGACCGGATGTCATGGTGTAGGGTTGATACACGTTTGGTTTTTTGTTCGGGGTCTAGTTGTAACTGTTTTCCTTTACCAGATTGGATTAGGGCACTTAGACCATGTGGAAACGAATTACTATAAATATTTCTCATACTACTCTGCAATCTGTATCTCCTCAAAATATAGTGAAACTGGCTCTCTCATATTCGTGGACTAGCTAACACACATTTGTTAGTGAACCACACATAAATTCGTGTGTCATGTTTGTTCTTTCTTTATCCTTCTTGCTATTTCTCGTTCCATAGAGAAACAGTTGTGACATAGACAACGGTTTTGAGTTTCCTTTAGCTCAATTACATAATATACTAATTAGAAATTAAATAGAGATAAGAAAGCATTATTTTTTCGTAAAGTTGTTTACAATAATTAATAAGTAGATCTTATATTCAATATAAACAATCACATTAAAATCTTACTACTACATTTTTTAGGGTCACGGTGGTTAGGAATGACAATATGTCAGGTCCGGGATGGGTATCTCGATACCCATACTCGTTCCGCGGCATGTTGAGTCCAGCTCGGGTAATTTATCATGGATCGCCGATCAGTGCAAGTTAACTCAATGGGTATGTAATTTATATGGAAAACATTAGAAATATTTGTTATTTTCATTATAAGACCAAGAAAACAACTATATAATGATAAATGTAGGTAAATTATTGAAGAAATTGAGGTTTTCACTAATTTCAACTTTATTGTAGCTAAAATATATATGATGTAATAAAAGGAAAATCCTAATTATTTTGACTAAGATTACATGTAATTTAGGCAAGAACGGGTCGAGAATGGGGGCGGGGCGGGCATATCCAAAAACAATCCAAATAGGTCGGGTAAAACGGGTCAGGTCGAAATTGTCATTCGTAATGGTGGTGGGCGCAAAGGACTCCTCTCATATATACCGTGAAAGGAACAAAGTTGCGGACTAGATCTTGAAGCATAATCTCGTTTATTCCTACATGCTACATGAGCTATCTATCATAAACTAGTTTGTCTCAATAACTCGAGTTGTTGGAAGAATATTATTATGAATCTTATACCACTCTCTTACATGAGTTTGAAATTTGCACATGCCCAGAATGCCTTGTGCTTTATCAACTATTAATATTGGGGGTCGTGGAGGTTCGAACACACGACCATCTGGCCAAACCAGCTATGATACAATATCATAAATCAATTGGTCCCAATAACTAGAATTATTGGAATAAGATTATTATGAATCTTATACCGCTCTCTTACACCATCAAACGGATGTCCCGAACTAGCCCGAACCGTTATCGACTTCGAGAGTCTTGTTGCTCCCTCATCTTCTGTCTTCTTCTCTTTTTTGACATGTTTCGACTCCTTGGAAGCAAAAACCAAAACAGGAGTCCGATATTCTTCTGTGTCTTCTTGAACCTCCCCCGTAAATTGTCTCATCTTGAAAAGACAAATCTTCTGATTAATATATCATTCATTAACAGGGATATGTATTGCATGGCGATAGGTTTGTCTGGTTGTTGTTCAGATTAATTTAATCGTTGTATTGTTTGGATTATATCAACCTGAGATGTATAAATGATGGTAAGAGTGAGAACCCAAAATGTGGATTCGGCGCTCTAGATGATAAGTACTACAAAACATGCAAAACACAAGAGTTTGCGGCTAGCTAGACACTTTCTCAGAGACGTAAAGGGACAGAAATAACAACGTATAGTAACCATGCATGTGAATGCAAAAGCTAGGGCATCGAGTTTAGGAGTGTATTGTCTTCAAACTAATTGTAAGATGGCATCATTGGTTAACTCCATGTAGAATATAGTGATAAACTGAACCGGTATGAAAATCGTCAATAAGTATTGTCAATACGATGCATACATAATAATTATAATAATGATACGGGCTACCGCGCGTATTGTTATTATAGTATCCAATTTCATCCGAATTACCCATATGCACCTAGCACCATGAATATTCGTAATGTATAATATAGTATTAGTATGAGATGGTGCATAGAAATTCAAAATGAATCTTATTGATGTTTAATATTAACTACTACGTACTTGTGTAAATATTACCTTGTCAATTTGAGGCAATCTCATTTTTATGTATGGTCTCAATCAGAAAACATCACCGCTAAATTGGGTGAAATTTATCGATTATCACGAATAAAACACTTGTATATAAAACGACCAATGTATTTTCCTCAAGATATATTGAATGATAGAGCTCATTACTTGGACATATGGGCATTTATTTATTTATTCGTTTACTGGAAATAAAAAAAAAACAAACGAGGAAAAATTTGGAGAGCAACAACACCTTATGCTCTTCGTGACTACAAGTCTACAACCTTGGCTTGGCCAAATGGACATAAAACAAATGAGAGAAAGAAAGTCCATAGCCTAGAGATTTGGTATGGCCATTTAGCAATTTCATGGTACGGTCGATAACAAAATCGGCCAGCCACACAGTAAAAAGATAAAAGAACAACAAATAAAATAAATTAACCCTCGTACAGAGTAAGTCAACAATAGAATATTTTATGCTGAAATTGTGATTTAATAGATGTTCAACCATTTCATATCGTAAAATAATATCACCTATCATTTTTACTTTTGATAGAAGGTTTTTCTAATCTAATCTAATCTACGGTTTAGATTAATCCCGGGTAAAATCAAGGGCCCAACCCCTCGGGCAAATAAGAAAAAGTGCCCTTCCCGAGTTTATTCTTTCTGGGCCGTGGACCTGTCACTGTCAGGTCCATCAACGCAGCCCAGTGTGAAACGGGCCCACCTGCTCCCTTTCCTTTCGCATTATAAACCCAATTCCGCCCTTTCCTCCCTTTTCCAAACCTTTCGTCTTTCCTTCTCTGCCTCGTTTCCCCTGCTGCTATTCTTCTCCTCACCGCTCTCTCTCTCTCTCTAACTTTCTTCTGTGTCCGTTGCCATTTTCTGCCAATATGGAGGAGAGGGAAAAGGTCTCAGATATGAAAGCAAGGCATGAGCTTCTGCAAGGTATGAAAGAATGAACAACTCCTTTCTGATTGTTATCGTCATGGAAAGGTGTCAACCCACTGACAAATTCCCCATTGCTATTTTTTTCCATGGAGATCGATTGGCTCATCTCTAGTCTCCACTTATCGACTTGCTGATTTGATTTGATTTGATTTGATTGTAGGGAACACTCTAGCTACGGCTGCTGCTGGTGATGAGCAAGTCAAGTTTCGGTCCAGAATCGTGGCTTGCTCATGCTAATTTCGGTGCTATCTTACCTGAGCTTCTCAAACGAACTTTTTCATTTTTTTTCTTTTGTTTTAAAGATTTTTCTTGACCTTGTAAGACCTTTTCTTGACCTTGTAAGACCCCGCGTAGTGTGAGTTTGCTTTAACAAATCGGTTTGCTATGGTCTCTGCATTTGGATGTTGATACGGAGAGGCTCTCATATGCAGCTTCCTGTTTCCGTACAATGCATCTTCTCTTTCCTTATCTATCCCTTCCGAGCTATTCGAAATCAACGATCCTCCCTCCCATTCCACGTTCCACCATGAGAGAGACTCCCCTTGACCACACAAGTAACAAGCAAAGGCAATGGTGTCATAATCTTGATGAAGTCATGATCATAAATGGAGCAAATAAAGAAGCAAACACCATCTCTCCCTCTCTCTCCCCAGCTGCTAATAGCCATGTATGAAATAGTTTATAGTAGAAAAAGAGAGTAATATACTTTTTCTTTTTCTTCAGCAACAAGAAATGAAGGTATATATTTGTGGTAGCCAGAGCTACCTAGCAATAGCATACTGATGCTGTTTTTCTTTGTTTTCTTTGTTGACCAATGACTGGTTTTCAAGGGTTTAGTTTGTATGTTGTAGTAACTTTATGTATCCAAAATAAAAGCAAACGAAATTTGATTTGAACCATAGGGATGACAATTTCGACTTAACCCGTTTTACCCAACCTGTTTGGCTTATTTTGGGCGGGTCCCGCCCTGTAGGCGGGGCAGGACGGGCATGGGTACTCTCACCAACCCGACCTGCCCTGACACGCCCCATTCTCGACCCGTTCTTGCCTTACATGTAATTTCAGTCAAATTACTTAGGATTTTTCTTTTATTACATCATAATTTACCCGACCTGAACCTGACCTGCCACGGGGCGGGTCTGGATACCAAGAAACTTGCCCCGGACCTGCCCATTGCCATTCCTACAGGGATATCGATAATTAATGTAGTATTATTTTTTTATTGGTTAAATGTTGGTTGTTGGATGGGAAAAAGGTGAAAGAGGTGCAAGTAGGAGAATAAACATTATTCTCTCAGATATCTTTGGCTGGTCCTGTCCTGTATTATGGTTCTTGTAATGTTGTTCGTGTAAGAGAACAAGTAAAAAAGAGTTGTTTCTGTGTGTATGACCTCCTCGCTAACTCAGTCCTTTTTGCCCCTACTACGTACTCTGTGTTATTTGACTCCCTCTCTAGTCTCTCGATGTAAAAAACTATTTGGTTCTAGGAGGAAATAGGAGCCTCTGCTCATGAGATACCAATACTAGGTATAAGATTCAGTCTTTGTACTATAACTCGAGTTATTATACGAAAAATATGGATCATATACTTACGATGAGATTTATGAACCTAAGAATTTGAGTTATTTAGGTGAGTTTGAGACTTGAGTGGTGGAGGTACATGTAGTTTCGAAGGGACTGCAATATTATAATATGCATTTTAGAATCTTAATAGTATGTTAGTAAATGAGAGCAGTTGCCCTCTCTCTTCCGAGATTTAGGTTCAGTCTTGAAATCTTGTAGCATTTTGTTATTTTCAGCTCCTACTTTTAGTCTCGGCTTCTTCGCCACTATTAAACTTATTTTTAATATGAAATCATAATTTTTGTTCGATTTGAATTCCGAAAATCTCAATAACTAATCTGAGTAGAAGTACAATCATTCGAGGAAACACATAAAAAAAATTGATGACATAGAATTGAAGATTGAGCCTCTCCCAACCTACTCATCCAACATACTTTGTTTTCTCCTCCACATCCAACGATAAGTAAATACGATGACGAGCGAGGTCCATATGCAGAGCAGGCATGCAAAACAGAGAGAGCCTGAAAATGAGGATATGAACTGTAATCCTTATTATAGATATACGCCCGGGCGTAGGCTAACTTATCGTACGCCCCCATTGAGTTTTGCTATTTGAACAATCAATCAACCGGAGTTTGGGACATGATACTATACCTTAACCATTAATGGGTTAATCCCAATCCCCAATTCACTAACCCAAAGCATGTGATTCATTTAATCTTAAAATGAAAATTAACGATTCTGATTCGTCGAAATTATCATTGATTTTCATTATAAGATTAAACGAATCTCATGGTTTGGGTTAGGTAATTAGAGACTGGAGTTCATCCATTAGAGATTAGGGTATAGTATCATGTCCCAAACTCCAGTTAATTAATGATCTAAATCGCAAAACTCAATGGGACGTACAATAGCCTAAACCATATATACTTTTATTTCAAGGCCCCGTTGTTACTTCTTATTTGATAGGAGACAAAGAGTTATAATGGCGAGGAGGAACTGAAATTGGGCAGTTGGACAGTGGTCCTGATTTGTACTCTGCAACTTCATTTCTTCCTCAAGCTGTCACAAAAATTTAAAGCTACAAAACATCTCATTGTGCCATTGTGATTCCTTTTTCAACCCTGGAAATCGATTTCAAAAAGGACAGGAGAGATTCTCAGACGTTCACAAAGTTTTCCATCCATGAGCCAAAAACAAAAACAAATGCAGCTCACAAATGGCCACGCCCTGTGATAAAGTTCGTATGGGTTTGGTTTGGGCCAAATTTTTTCAACGGACCCACATCATTTATGCAAGGAATACTGGATCAATAACTAGGAGGAGGTTGGTTATTTGGCAGTCATTTATCGTTTCGTTTGATCACTCGTGGTAACTACTGTTAAAGGAAGGTAACTTTGATAATATGATATAGTTTTAACTTTTAACTATACGTAAGGTTTGACATGTTTGTAAAATAATATCATTTGAGGTATTAAATTATACGAATTAGTTTTTGTGAGGTACTATAATGTAATTTTTTTAATAGTTTTTGGACTTATATGTGAGAAAAGATTTAAGTTTAGGTATGACATGGGAATAGATATCAAGTTTGGCTACCAAACTATAATTTTGTGATGAGTATAGGTAAAAACTAAAACCCATCAAATTTTACTCATTTATGTAGTACTCTACTTGGGTTGGGTATATCCATGGATTAGGGCAAATTTATCATCTCAAGTGATTAAAAAAAAAAACTAAGAGATGATATGGAACCCATTCGTTTCAACTATCCTACTTGTTTTTAGAAGTTCAACGATAATGAATTTTATAGTATTATGTTTTATGAGCCCTTTAATATTTATAACTCATAAATGTGAAATTTGTCTCGACTCGTTATACTTTGTGCTTAAATCAGTTGTAGAGATAACAAGCTTATCGAAATTCGAACAATGAAACTTAAATGTCTACATAGCTTTGGCATGTCGAGAACATCCATCTATCAAAATTAAATTGTTGGGATAATTTGAAGAGTGAATTTCTTACTACATCAGTTACTCGTACCATCAATCATGTAACTTAGTTTGGTAGAAATTTGGAAGTATGGATATGTTTGATAATGAGAGGTTGGCCGTCGTGGACAAGTAGTTTTGTTTTTGGAATGGATATATGCAAAATATTGTAGCTATACATCACTTTCGGATATAATGAACAATATGCATCAAATTTGGGAAATGTCATGTTGAGATGTAACCATACCATGTTTATGTAACCCTAATTTTCAGGTGGAGAAAGTGATAGGAAGAAAAACTGAAAGTGGATAAGTCATTGCATGAATCCGAAGTTAATTATATATTCTTCCTTTTTGTGGTTCATGCAAAAATGTTGATTTCTTATCATGGGCGAAAATATGTTTTCAAGGAAATATAGGGATGATTGAAGGTTTTTTTTTTTTTGAGAAAAAGGATGATTGAAGGTGACGTTTGGATATTTGAGAGATTTGATGGAGTTGACGTATGTTACGTAATGAATTTTTCATCATTGGATTTGAGATGTCTTGTTTGAAATTGTAACTAATCTCTGAGAGCTGTTTCTTGGATCCGAAAGAGAGTACTTGGGTTCTCCTAAGAACTAAAAAGTGTATCATGTCTGAATCTAACTGGGGTTCACAGTGGTGGAGGAACTTGATCGGAAAAAAGAGGGATTCTAGTTGTAAGATATCTAATGAAATCGTCGCTGGAATTGAGATCTCATTCAAAGAGAAAGATATCAAATATCTGGAGTTTCTTTTTGTATATTATATGGATGATCCGATCTGCAAGGACCATGATTGGAGAATCTCTTTAATAGCAAGAACAATCACAAATAGATATAAACTACTATATGAAAAAGAGAAAACATAAAAAATACAACTGGATTTTCTTCAATTTTTACCAGGGGTACAATAGAAGTCATCATATACATACACACAAATCAAAAACCCTAGAACTATATAAGGATGGTGAACGAGTCATGACACTTTATAGAGGTACAGGCTTGAGGCAGATAGTTCGACTTCCAGCTTTTGTATGCAATAACAAGACTGGGCAGGGCAAAAGCCTAGTCGCACTTTCATGAAGAAGGGTAATTTGTCGGGTTTATCCTTTCCAAATATACATAAGGGGCAGGTTTCTTCTCGAGGTCGACAGACCGAATCAGTAACCCTCTATTTAGTCGAATGCAACTATCAATCAATAATATCAGACTCAACCACTATCTTTCTTCTATAATAGCATGCCACTCGATACATGCTACCGAAGAAGGAATACAAATGCGGAGTCGAGGGTATTCGAATATGAAACATCCAAATTATGTTTCAACAAATAGACTTGCCGCTATGTTTCAACAAATACTATGAGTGAGGATCGACTTATCGATCGAGCCATAAAAGAAGTGACCTAGATTCCCTTGTATTTATTTAATGCTATGATTTTTGTTATGGTTCAAGGGCATGTTCCTTTAGGAACATGTTTGTTGTATTTCTTAACATGAAACTGAAGTCTAAGGGAGATTTTGGTAGCAATGACTGTTGAATATCGTCCAAAGGTTACTACCTTCTCTACTCTACCGCACAATGATGGTGTCCACAAGTGGACATTGAAAAAGAGAAATGGCTTTATTGCTCTTTGGGAGTGATTTTTTTTTTTTTTAAAATGAGTTCATTAAGATTACAAAACGGGCCAAGCTCAACCGGTAAAGATACAGATGGAAACAAGAGTAAACAGAATCAAGACAAAAAGGCCCAAAAAAGAACTGGATACCCAATAGGGCCCAGTCCAAGAACCCAAACATTGTCAAAGCCCCATCAACCCTAGTTGACCGTCCGCTTCCCTCTGGACGCCTCCACCGCCGCAGCCAACTCTCCACCACCACTTGAAATCGACAGCCGCGTTGACCCCCACCAGCCACCACCAACTCTCGTCAAAACGGTAGGAGAATCCACCAAACCCAAACTGGCAGGGAGAGGAAGAGGGCCTCCCATGCAACCCGCCCCGAGCCAGTCGCCATCAACTTCCACCGTCCAAATACCGGGGAACCCATCAGGACGACCGACGACCGGTGAAGCAGCCAGAGGGAAGAAATCTTCTGCTTTCAAAGCTCTCCAGACCGTGTCCTCGCCAAGGGCTCCATCTCCGAAATCCCAAGATCTGCAAGGGAAAACATGGAGGTAGACAAAGGAAAGAAGAGGAGAAAACAAGCCAGATCTGTGATAGATCTGGCCACCATTTTGCATCTTAGAACGGACACCTCTCCAGCTCTGAAACAACAGAACGGAGGACAAAAAACTCAACCCACTGAAAGGGAGGAACAGATCCCACCAAGGGGAAAGGAAAACCGACTAAGTCGAGCAAAACCCAAGCAAAGACAAGGCAGGAATAAAATTAAAGAGTTGGCAAAGGAAGGGAGAAAGCATAAAAAAGAACAGAGGGGGCGGAGGGCTGCCGCCGGTCGCCGGAAGAGTGCCGGCGGCAGCCCCCATGGCTGCTTGGGAAGATGGGTTAGAGAGAAGGCAGAGGAAAAAATCAGAAGAGAGAAGGGTTAGGAAAAAATCAGGAGAGAGAAGGGTTAGAATGTCCCTGGAGCTAGCCAGAACCAAAACTTGAGAGAAGAGGAGATGAATACAAAATAAGGGGCGGTCAGATGAAAATGATAGGAAGAGAGCTCTACTCCTTAATAAGCAGCTATGATTTATAATACGATCAAGATGTACAAGTTAAAAATATTTTATATCTCTAAATACGTAATTCGTGATGAATGAATTCATTTAGAGCCACTATATATTCTATCAATTTGTAACCAAACATTTCATTGGCCATCTCATTTAACATTAGAACTAGAAAATATCGTTTAGTGACTCATATTTTCAGGTTCTTTGTAGGGCTGGCTATTTGGTCCGAGTTTTTTGGTTTTACTCGAAATTTGACTGTATAATCCAGACCGAGATCAGACCGGGACCGGATAGTTAACAATTCAATCCAATCTTTGGGCTTAGATTTGAGGTAAAAAACCGTTCGGGACCGAATCGAAAACTGGATAAAGACCGGATAAGAGAGCTCAACACCCAAAACTTAAGGGTAATTTGCATAAACGGTCACAAACCTTTGCACTTGGTACAAAACTTAACCAACTCCTCGCCCTTTAAGGCCTTAGGCCACTCAAATCCTCACAAGCTCAATATAAAATCAAGACCAAATTGGAACCGGACCGGGTCAAGACCGGACTGTATCCAATCCAATCTTTGGTCCTTATATTTTCAAAAAAGACCGGTCTGGACCAGATCAATTTGGGCCAATTTAACCGGGCCGTATAGCTACCCTAGTTCTTTGTAGGGTGAAAACTAAGACCAAGTTACTGATTTCACGTTGTGAATAATAATAAGTGTATTTCCAAAAATACTGAGTGATGCCTATTTTTTGTGCTTACGAATAGGGATGGCAATTTCGAGCTGACCTGATTTACCTGACTTGTTTGGCCTATTTTGGGGCGAGTCAAACTCGCCCCGTAAGTGGGACGGGGCGGGCGTGGATACCTCTCATCGACCCGACCTGTCCTGACCTGCCTCATTCTCGACCCGTTCTTGTCTAAATTACATGTAATCTTAGTCAAATTACTTAAGATTTTCCTCTTATTACATTATATTTTAGCTATAATAAAGTTGTAATTAAGTGAAAACCTCAATTTCTCCAATAATTTAAATACATTTTATCATATTATGGTTTCTTTCTTGGTCTTTTAATTAAAATAACGAATATTTCTAATTCTTTTTCGCACAAATTACATACCCTTTGGGTCGACTCGCCCCGCCTGTGCGGCTGTGCCTCATGATAAATTGCCCGAGCTGCCACGGAGTGAGTATGGATATTGAGATACCCGCCACGGACCTGCCAATTGTCATTCGTACTTATGAATGTCCTAACAGATTGGGCCCATATATTGTCAAACTTTTTACCATATTTAGGTAACATCCTAACATGGGTTCACTGATGAGGTCTTTACGTTTGGCCCATTATATTAAATAAATGGCAGTCCCCTTTTCATGGACCCATTGCAAAAGAAAGAAGAAAAAAAGCAATTTTGTTAAAATACTCACAAGTCTTTTGAGAATGTAGACCTAGCTTTCAACATGCCATGTCCCATTCATTAACCTTGATGATACTTCATAATCTGTTCTTGCCTTCTTGGAGTGGTTCGGAGTATTGTTGAGTTAAGTTGAAGTTGAGGTAACTTTTTGTTCCATGCTTTTCACAGAAATCTACTATAATTACAATAATGTGTTTCTACTCCTCATCTGACTCAAATAGTTGGGTTGTAGTACGAATTTGTGATTGTGATGTCTGATTCAACATTGGGAAGAACTTCAATCTGCAAACCCAAGCAAACGCGTTCGAATATGCACTCTAACGATTCAATCTTTTTTTTTTTTTTTTTTGGTGAAAAATAATATTTTTTTTAGTATAATCAGCATTCATCACCAACGATAATGACTAACTTCTCGCCATTGTGATGACATGAAAAAAAACACGTATCTACATAATCAACTCTATACCCATGGACAATAATGGGTAGCTAACCTCATGGGTAAATGATAGGGATGACAAAAATATTCGTCACCGCTCGAATCCGAAGAACTTTTAGTGGGTACGGGTAAAACCCTAATCCGAATATTGCGGGTAATGGGTGGGCATGGTTTTCTCACTTTCCAACCCGAACCTGCCCTATTATACACATGCATATGTATTTTTGTCTAGAAATAATTAATATTTATCTCGAACATATTTTATATTTAGAATATAAATATAATATTTTTTCATGAAATTGTGTTATTTTAATTAATTTTCTTCATTCTAGTGAATTATTGTCGTACATTTTGTCTTACGTAACGTGAGAATACGTGTGAATATTAACATATTGGTTGGAGTTATAAAGAGAAACTATTATCTATGGATAACCATGGATACCCAAAACCCGAACGGGTATAAGCACGGTTTGAATTTTCTACCCATTTCTTATGTGGGTATGAGTAAAATTCAAATTGCTTTGGGTAGGGTAATGGATATGCACTATCCGTCTCCAACCCGACCCGACCCATTGTCATCCCTAGTAAAGGACGAGGTGATCAACTATCATCATGCCACACCATGTGGTTGAAAAAGGATTACATTTGATATAGTTGTGTCGTTAGCAGGGTCGATGAAGAGGGTGTGCAGTGAGGCCCTCAGGCATAGGGCCCCTACCTAAATCTGTCAGTTAGGGGTCGTTTGGAAGTTGCGATTGTTTTGTTGAGATTGTCATTATGCATGTATTGTTTACAATGCAGCGTTTTTTGTTTTTGTTTTTTTAGCAGAAACAATACATGGATTGTTTCTATGATGTGATACAAAATATCACTCATTTTGAGTGATTGTTATATCTCAACTTTTAGTTGTGATTGTTGAGATAGTTGAGTTGAGATTGTTTTGTCTCAGCTTTTAGCTGATGCGACATACACAATCACACATACCAAACGTTGTATTCTACAATGCATCAAATTCGACAATACATGTATAATATTATACATGCATTCTCAACAATACATCTATTTAACAATCGCAACTTCCAAACGACCCCTTATAATCTCGTTTCATGTTATAGGTTGTATTTGTAATGTATGATTAATTGATTGTAAGTATGATGACTAGTTTAATTATATTAATTAATATGAATGTTAATTATTGGTTCAAATTCTCATGTATATATACACTAAATGCGTATGTTGATGGTTAAAGTATTATTTGTGTTTCGAAAATCCTATTTGTATTAAAAAGTAATGCAAGAAAATCGTAATGGATTAACTATGCTAACAATTGAAAATAATCTCACGCCGAATATGAAAATTAGAAATATAATATGATAGGTTTACTTTAAACAATCTTAGAAAGATATTACATTTCAAGTAAAGGTGAAATTTTGGCCAAGTTGGGGGTAAATGGAATGTAACTTGGTGAGGTAGGTTTTCTTTCAAGATTTTGGCCAAGTTGGGGGTAAATGGAATGTAACTTGGTGAGGTAGGTTTTCTTTCACTTGAAGCGCTTGTTGGCTGCAGTCATAGTGATCTCGAAGTGATAGTTTTGTTTGTAATGGTTGATCCCAGACTTGAACAGTGTAAAATCGTCTCGGAGGGAGTTGATTTCATCCTTAATATCTCTCACGTTTCAACCGTACTACGAGCAATTCATACGTTTGCACAATGATCATTACGAGATGTCTTTCACTGAAAAGACTATAGGAAAAGAACTTAACAAATGAACGAGTAACATAACCACAAGTTAAATAAATAAAGCTTACAGTTAACAAACAATGTTGGAGCGTATGAAGGTTCATGAAAATGGAGTCAAGAAAAAGAATTATTGCCATACGCTACAGGGGATAATGGAGTAGGCAGTGACTCCACTCCTTGTTACTTCTTTTTCATCATCATCATCATCAACAGGTTGCCAACGAACAAGGAACCTTCTGATCAGGCGCCGTCCTGTGATCTGGCAGCAAACCTCGAGCATTTCTTGCGACTGGCTTTCACACCCAATGCACAAACGCAAGTCTCGAGCAGCTCGTAGTCCTCGTCCCAGAACAGCAGCGATGCTTTCTCCGGGTTCTCCAGAAGCATCTTTGACGTCAGGAAACCAGCAATGGTCCATGTCTGGTAGTTACGTGACTGTTTGCCAATGAATCTGCCACCACGAGTGTCGTAGTACTCTGGCCAACCATCAGCTGCTAGCCTCTGCTCCGCAAGACTCACGGCTTTCTGCGCCAGTTCAGGTCTCTCCATCTTGATGCACGCCAATGTGAACTGCCATAGGAGGGTTGGCCAAGATCCACCATTGTGATACGACCATGGCCTGCAGAAAGGGTGCAACATGTTAAAAAAAGACCTTTTCCGAGGTCATACTAGTGCACATCGATAATAGGAAGTATCTCACGTGTTCTTTGGGTCACTGCCAGTAATGATACGCCATTCTTCGCCTTCCATAGCAGGGTAGGAGATCTTGAGAGGCATATGTGCAACTAGATCGTCCCACTTGGTATCGATCAAATCCAAGATACCCTCATTCTGTTCACGAGTTCCCAAAGAGGAAATGATGCTCCACAGATTTCCCAGGGTGAAGAACCTGAAGTCCATGTGAGCAGGTTGAAGGTTACCCATAAAATAGCCGCCTTCCTCAGGGATCCAATCCACAAGCCATGAAGGGATTTGCTCCGGATAGATATTGAACTTGTTGACTGCATCCGTTGAGTATTCCTCGGTTTTGTAGCGGTAAATTTCATTTATCTTCTTCATGTCGACCCAGTAGTACTCTCTCATGTGGAATGAGAGGGCACTGAGTCTTTTATTGATAGCAGCCACCAGGTTCTTGGTTCCATCGTGGACGGTGAGCATCTCACGGCCACATCTTAGAGCCGAATAGAACAAAGCCTAGATTTAAATCAGGAGAGATCATTAGATAAGGGGCACTACATTACTAAAGGCCATTAACTAAGTGGTAGGATAAAGAGCTTTCAGAAGATGATGAACAAACCTGGATTTCGAGAGGGTGCCCATGAATACCCATTCGTCTATCAATCATGCAGGAGCCATCAGTTACTAATAGAGTAGGGAACATGTCGAATCCATCACTTAAACACAAATTCAGTATCAGACTTATGCCTGTTTGGACATCAACC